ATATTTTCCTCATTCCTAACGCTAAAGATTTTCCATCTTTTGAAGGAAGAAATCCATAGGAAATTAGTCTTGCTGGGAAACCAATATAAGAACGTTGAATAAAGTAAATATAGTTCTGCTTCATGATCTGCAAGGCAACATGAAGATTTATAAGATCTGACCCTCCTATCTCACACATTTCTTCAATGACCAGCTCCAAATTTGATGCATTCATTACAACATAGAAGAAGCTCAGGTCCTAAGAAAGTCTGTTAATCTTATATTAATTCCCTCGAACATACCTATAGAAGTACGGAATCGCTACATACGAATAACTTGTGCTAAGGCTCCCACAGTGAAGAATTTTGTAAAAAAAAATTCCAAACTTCAGTATTAGCATCTAGGTACTGGGAGTGTACTCTATTTACCCAGTTCAGTCACTCACTTTTTCCTCGTTCGGCGCGACTGTTTACACTTCCGGTCACTAAGGGTCGCACGTCGTAGCCAACACTAAACTGTCGCGGCAAAGTTGCGCGCGGCCGCTCCTATCCTTGGCTGTTGCCAACAATATATCCTCACTGGGTTATGTCGCATAGTGCCTGAACCGTTTTTGGATTTATTCCACGAATCCATAAAATTCCTCCCCAGCTTCTGCTTTTATATATTTTATTTAGGGGAGCGATGAGGTTATTACTGGTACTTGGACTTCTACAATTGGCATTCGGCCAGGTAATAGCTAGTCGCCACTCATTTTTCGATAAACAAAGAGAGGAGAAGATCCGCAAAATAGCATAAACTTATATCACGCATGTTCTTATACTTCACCTATATCTTAGGTTGAAAAATTAAACAGCTCTTCTTTTCAGTGGTTTGACAAAAATCACGTGGATTTTCCTCTATAATCCTATTTTCTTATAGCTTTACTATCAGCAACAGCGAATTCCCCAGCGACCCATGATGTATCCAGTAAGAACGAATTGCCAATACGTCTGGTGCAGTCAAAATCGCTATAGGTGGAACTACAGACCAACAGGTAGTCTTAGGAAATAGTTGTTTGAAATTAGCATCGTGTAGCGATAAGTCGAAAGTACAAGGCAGT